ATTACATTAGGGACGTCTCCACAAATATTAACCAAGAAAAATAAGCCAAATCTATGCTTCTCTAGCGTGAGTTTTCACAATTCCTTATGACAATGAATAATTTTCCAAGTCTGACTATCGAGATTCTAAGTAACTGGAGACAGAACATTTTTATACTCCACGTAGATCATAAACCACTGAAATCGGTTGAGAAATGTAAACGTTATTGTGCTTTTTATCCAGAAAAACAGCAGCTCCCCCATTTACTTGTATTTGTTTATAGGGCACTCTTGCCCGCTCCAATATGGCGGACGCGTTGACGTATCGCAGCAATGTCTATGGTTACAGGAACATTAGTTTATGTAATCTATATAAGGCTAGATAGGAGAACTTCCTGTTATGAGACCGTGAAAGAACGTTACAGGAACGTTCCCGGAACGTTAGTTACAAACAAATAAAATGCGACCTTTGGCTAATGTTCCTTGCCAGTTTTCATATAACCAAAGGAGAACGTTTTATGTTTTAAAATGGTTTAAACTTCCCCAGAATGTTTCGGGAACAGGGCCGACATTATTATGTGAAATTCGGCGTTATGAAATGGTTCCCTGAAATTATCCACAGGGGTACCTGAGCTAACGTTAAGGAAATGTTGTGTGTTTGGCGGGTTACTGCGTTACTACCCCGGCGGAGCCACCAGAGGGCGCTGCGGGTCCAGGTTAGCTGAAAGGTTTCTACCGCCGGAGTGAAGAAGAAAACTACACCACAGTTTCCCAACGCTTTCAAATCAGGGAGAGCTGTTGAGCAGGTGGGCAGTGGGCGGAGCTTAGCTGAGAAATGGAAATAAAATTGCCACACACACGAAGTACCCTGTGAAGCTCGATAATATCAATTATTCTTGTAATTAAGACAGAAGAGGAAGCTTCAACTGAACAGGAAAACAGGTAAGTGGAGATACAGTAAATTAGAGAATATTAATATAGTTGCTTTTTTGCCATAGTTTAATCTTAGCCACGACACTTATAATATAAGACAAAGGCAGGTATTAAGTGTTATATGGAATACTTAGTATTTTAAGAAACCAAGATTAATACAGAGTGAAAACACAAATGTTTTTACATAGTGTGAATGTGACAGTGGCTAAACAAGCCAGTTTTATTTTGTACATCACTCTGATGAGTTTTCTCCTCATTAGCAATGGCTGCCTCCAACACTTCTGTATCTGAAGAGCAGTTGCAGTGCTCAATCTGTCTGGAACTATTCACTAAGCCTGTCTCTACTCCATGTGGACACAACTACTGCATGGTTTGTCTCAACAAATACTGGGACAACAGTCAAAAGTACGATTGTCCATTCTGTAAGAAAGAATTCACCAAAAGGCCAGAACTTTGTGTTAATACATTCATATCTGATCTGGCTGCTCAGTTCAAAGAGTCGGTGAAGGTGCAGTCCAACGCTCGCACACCGAAGCCTCGTGCTGCACAGGGACACGTGCCATGTGATGTCTGTCCTGAGCCTACACAGAAGGCCCTGAAGTCCTGTCTGGATTGTGGTATGTCGTTCTGTGATACACATCTGGAGCATCATAAAATCGCAGCGAAACTTAAAAAACACAAATTAATCGATGCTGTGAAGAACCTGGAGGACTATATATGCCAGAGGCACCAGAGACCTCTGGAGTTATTCTGTAAGAATGATCAGAAGTGTGTGTGTCTGTTCTGCACTGAGGGAGAGCATAAGAGCCACAACACCATTCCTATAGAGGAGGAGACTGCAGACAAGAAGGTGAGACACACCAGTAATCTACTGTCAACATGGTTGGCTAATAATTGCGTGAATGAACAGGTGTACAGGTGTTCCTATTAAAGTGGCCATTGATTGTATATAGCTTAATAATAATGCATACATACATACGGTACATCATCCACAAATAGTACGTTTTTCAAAAGGATTTATTAGGAGATTTAAACACAATATATACAATATATATACAATATATACACTCAATGCCCACTTTATTAGGAACACCTCTTCACCTGCACAATCCCGCAGTTATCTAATCAGCCAATCATGTGGCAGCAGCACACTGCAAAAAAAAAAATCATGCAAATACAGGTCAAGAGCTTCAGTGAATATTCACATCAAACATCAGAATGAAGAAAAAGTGTGATCTCTGTGACTTTAACTGTGGCGTGGATGTTGGTACCAGATGGGCTGGTTTGAGTATTTCAGAACATGCTGATCTCCTGGGAATTTCACACACAACAGTCTCTAGAGTTTACACAGAATGGTGCAAAAAAACAAAAAACATTGAGTGAGTGGAAACACCTTGTTGACGAGAGAGGTCAGGGGAAAATGGCCAAATTGGTTCAATCTGCCAGGAAGGATATAGAAACTCTTTACAACTGTGGTGAGCAGAAAAGCATCTCAGCATGCACAAAACATTGACCCTTGAGGTGGATGGGCTACAGCAGCAGAAGACCACATCAGGTTCCACTCCTGTCAGCCAAGAACAGGATTCTGAGGCTACAGTGGGCACAGACTCAGAGAAACTGGACAGGTGAAGAAGAAAAAATCACCTGTTTTTTTTCCTGTCTTCAGCTGTCCAGTTTGGGTGAGTCTGTGCTCATGGTAGCTTCAGATTCTTGTTCTTGGCTGACAGGAGTGGAACCTGATGTGGTCTTCTGCTGTTGGAGCCCATCCACATCAAGGTTTGATGTGTTGTGCATTCTGAGATGCTTTTCTGCTCAACATGGTTGTAAAGGTTGCTTATTTGAGTTACTATAAACTTTCTGTCAGTTCAAACCAGTCTGGTCATTCTGCTCTGATCTCTCTCAACAACAAGGTGTTTCAACCTACAGACCCTCTGCACACGGGATGTTTTTTTGTTTTTCGCACCATTTTGTGTAAACTCTAGAGACCGTGTGTGTGAAATTCCCAGGAGATCAACAGATATAGAAATACTCAATACGTACCAACAACCATGCCATGGTTGAGGTCACAGAGATCACATTTTTCCCCCATTCTGATGTTTGATCTGAACCTTAACTGAAGCTCTTGACCTGTATCTGCATGATTTTATGCATTGTGCTGCTGCCACATGAATGAATGATTAGATAACTGCATGAACGTTCAGGTGTTCCTAATAAACTGGATGGTGAGTGTATATAGAACAGTTAAAGTGGTTGGTTAAAATCAAGATGATATTAATCAAGGATTTAGAATAATCTGTGCTGCAATTAAGCATAAAATTCCATTGCCAACTGGAGTGTATTAAAATGCAAATAAAAAGAAAAAAATGTGTGATGATAACATGAGGATTTTTCATTCCATCAATTATTTGTCACATGAGTGTTTTCTTCCTTCCACAGACTAAGATGCAGAAAACCCAGGCAGATGTTCAGAAGATGATCCAGAACAGACTAAAAAAGACTGAAGAAATAAAGCATTCTGTAGCCCTCAAAAAAGTGAGTCTTAACAAAAAACAAACTACTGAACACACCACATTTCCTACTAATATAATGTAGCAGGGGAAAGTGATGATAACTTTGCAAATATATGTTAGAAAAATATAGATAAGGAAAAAGAGGACAGTGCTGAAATCTTCAGGTCTCTCATGAGCTCCATCGAGAGAATGCAGGCTGATCTGCTTATGGTGTTGGAGGAGAAACAGAAAGACATAGAAAGGCAAGCTGAAGGGTTTGTTAAAGCACTAAAACAGGAAATTGCTGAGTTGAAAAGAAGTGAGTTTAAGCTGGAGAAGCTCTTACACTCTGAAGACCACCTCCACCTCCTCAAGGTGAGCGCCCTTGTCTGCTCAGAGAACATGCAGTACATCACCTGAACAGCACTCTCCATGCTGAAGAATTTCTCTTCACTTCTTTTCTGATTTACTGTAGGTTTGCTTAACATTATTCACCCCTACGTCCACCAGTAACTGGGATAAAATTGAAATTAACAGCAGTTTGAGTGTGGAGGATGTGAAGAGAGATTTGCTTCATCTTCAGCAATCTGTCAACAATACAACTAAGAGGATGTCTGGGTTAAGTGAGTAACAATGCAGTTGTATTTTTGTGTTTTATTGTGCTTTGAAAGAGTAATTTCATCTGTTCCATTGTACTTTAGTTAATGGCTTGTAGTTAAATTTAGATTTTGCAGTGTTGTGATTTTTATAGTCTTAGTACTTGTTTCCACAGGAACCCTTGACTACCAAAAAGAAGAGATAAAAAGGCTGTTGAAAACTCCATTACGAAAAGGTGACACGTGGTACCTAGTAGACAGCAGTTGGTTCAAAACATGGAAGAAATATGTGGGATTTGATAGCTGGGACACAGCCAGTTTGGGAGGCCGGACATTTTACCCTGGACCAGTGGACAACTCAGGACTCTTAAAAGATTCACTCTCTATCAAGGAGTATCTAATTTGTGAGCTGGACTACATCCTTCTGCCTAAAGAGGCATGGGGTAAACTGATAAGCTGGTATGGACTGACTGAGAACCAGAAGCCTATTGCAAGAAAAGTGGTTGAGCAAGGCACGTTTGTGAAGTACTTTAAGGTGGAGGTCTAGCTCACTGAACTGATATTATGTGAATTGAGCAATATGGACCAAAGTATAAATTGGCACTTCAGCAAAGCAGACACAGTAGCATGTATTGAACAGGAAATGCATAAAATCTTTGATATTCCTGATGAGAAGAAGACCAGGTTGTGGAGTAAGTATATCGCTAATACATTTGAGTGTCTGGGCTGCCCTGGTAGCAGCATTCAGGGTGCTGGTCTCTTCCAAGGACAGGTTGTGCTTATAGAACAGAGAAACGAAGATGGGACATGGCCACGAGATGCAGTTCCACCCCCCTGCCAAAAATCTCAAAAGGGAAACACCTGAGTGGAGCATTATGATAGTTAAAAGAAACTAAATTCTGTTGATTGTTCGTTATACTTTTATGTTTTTTTATTTAGCATTTATGTTCTTTGCACTATAGTGGATATATTCTATTATTACATATTAATTGAAAATATCATTGGGGGGCATGGTTTATTGGTCAGCACATTTGCCTCGAACCTCCAGGGTTGGGGGTTCAATTCCCCCCTCCGCCCTGTGTGTGTGGAGTATGCATGTTCTCCCTGTGCTTCTGGGTTTCCTCCCCCAGTCCAAAGGCATGCGTTGTATGCTGACTGGCATCTCTAAATTGTCCAGGGTGTGTGAGAATATGTGTGATTGTGCCCTGCAATGGGTTGGCACCCTGTGTAGGATAAGCAGTACAGAAAATGGATGGATGAAAATATCATTGGCATCATTAAGCACATAGGAATAGAAACATGTTTATAGTATTAGTTTTGCTCAAAAGAAATTTGATATAATGAAAAAATGTGACAATTTGATATAATTTCACACAATCGTGGGTGTATTTGAGCTTATATGATTTTGGGCGTATATGTTTACAGAAGAGGGCAGTTAGTATGTGCTAGATACACCCTCCCTGGATAGCAGCTGTCATGTGATGCAGAGAGCTACCTGGATGGGAATTAGCAAATGATTTTTTTTCAACCATTAGAGCTCTCTTACTTGCAGTCATTCCAAAAATGTAGTATCTTATTAAAATTTTATGGATGTGATGGGGATAAGTATGTATGTATGTATGTATGTATGTATGTATGTATACTTCATCAGTGTATCACACAGGTTTTGACATACTGTATATGGAGGCATTGTATGTATCACTGTGTTCAGAATAAATATGAGGTACTGCCACAAGAATGACCTAGAGATGAGTACAAGCAATAACACTCCATGCCATCTCAAGCCAAGCAGTAATAAGGAGTTCAAAGCTCATGTACATGAGCAGAATTAGATAGATTCTCTTTATAGATTTCACTGTCTATTATAACTAGCAATGATGTAGTTGGTTTTATCATGAGCTACAGACATAATGATTACTCTACCAAGACTGGCTACATTACTATTCTTTTGAAGGAACAAATGGTTTTTTTTTTTTTTCTATCACTCGTAATGTGCTTTCGGTTGCAGCCTACTTCAGCACACTGAGAATTCTCACACTGTGCTGTTATTGATCAGTCTGAACACACACACTGCCCTAAGTCAGTGGATTTAACATGGAAGGTAGGAGACTATTGATCACACACTGAGAAAGGAGCTATTCCTTCATTTATACAGGCCATTATTTTTATTAAAAAGCTTGCTTAGACATCAGTCATCATGAATCAAGGGTAAAATAATACATCCATGATAATATTAGATTCCAGTGTGCAGTAATCATGAAATGGACCACTGCAGACAGAGCTGCTTGTGTTGTGTATGATGTATGAGGGTAGTATGTGATGATGGTCTTCTTAGGGTGCAGCCTTTATTCTTGGATGTGATTCATGATTGTACCTACAACTCTGTTTGCTTTGTTATATGTATATAATTGAAGTTAACACATAGCACCATGCTAGCAATTGCTTTCAGCATGCTAGAAAAAGGAGAAAAAAAACACTGGGTTAGTACAGGATTCTGTTTAGGGCCCCCAAAAGCACAAAACCGCACAAAAAAAATTAAGCATTAAGTAATTACAGGTCTAGTGTTCAAGAAGGATCAGGTCTAATGGCAGGTTGCCCAATCCTGCTAGATAGGGATTTCAGTACCGAGGTGTCCTATAGAGCACCGGTGGCCACCATACTGCTCTAACACCCTTCGGGTTTGAGCCTCAGCTAAGCTATTTTTAATGCAGGGGTGGCTCAAGCTCCAGCACCACCAAACTACCACCGTCAGAACCCTGAGCAAGGATCTTAACCCACTTCTCCAGGGGGGCAGTTTTATGGCTGACCCTGGGTTCTGACCCCAACCTCCTTGTCAGCTAAGATATGTGAAGAAAAGAACTTCACTGTATGGGTTATTTATTTATTTGTTTGTTTGTTTGTTTGTTTATTCATTTATTCACTTATTATTATCAGGGGGCCTAAGCAAAGGTGTGTAGGCACTCTATTGTTATTCTTCTTCTTCTTCTTCTTCTTCTTCTGGCTAGGGTGTCTATGGCAGCCCATAGAACTGTCTGGTAAAAAATTGTGAAATTGAACACAAACTGATTGGGGAGGGTCTAAGGAACATTCTGACCAAATTTGGGCCAAGTGCTGCCAATGCTTTAGCGCCACCATTGGGTCAAATTTTGGCCTAATTTGGAAGTACGTTTATGGTCATAACTTTTGAACCATGTGTTCAAAATTTAAAAGCCAGACATCGCTGGATTCCCTGGGTCGAAACAAGTTCAACGCATCCTATGACGTCAATTTCCGCCTAATTAGATTTCCCACCATCTTGGACTTTTTGTTAAACTTGTTTTTTCACTACTCCTACAAATTTTGTCCAATCATCACCAAATTTGGCACACGTCCTCTTCAGTGTAAGCCTCACAAAAGTTATCAAAAGAATTCTGAATATTCTGAATGGTTTGTCCATAATGGGCCAACAAATCTGACAGTGAAGCCCCCAAAGAGGACATGAGGCTGCATCTCAGCAATGACTTTGTACAATGACACAAAACTTGGTAGGCGTCTTCAGGACCATGACCTGAGGCTATGCAACAAATTTCGTGACAGCACTACCTACTGGTCAAAAGTAACAATAACATGCTAAAAAGTGCTTACATCTAACTGCCATTTTTGCTGCTCCTCCTCCAGATTTTGTCCAATCTTCACAAATTTGGCTCACAACATCTTGAGACCTGTCTAAACTTGTGCAAAGTGGGGAAAAAAGGCCCAGACTGATGAGAAAAAAAGATCAATACCTTAGATGTTTTTAAATTGCAAGAAGAAAAAAAAATTAGGTCAAAGTAGCAACAGACAACACCACAGGTCACAGCAGTAGTGCCAGCTGCAGCAGCAATGCCACCCTGCTGCCCATTTGTTCATATAGACCTTTCCTCCTACAGTCAGAGAATTCCACCACTGTCCGTGGTCAAAACATACACATCATGAGTGAAAGTACAAATCACTCTTTAATCCCTTTGCCTAAAGTTATGGCTCTGCTTTCCTGTGATTGCTTAGGCAACAATTATAGCGTGTCTTTGAATGTGCGGCTCACTAAGTCTGGGGGCTTGGCCCCCGAATATGCTGCTTGCAGTTTTATTATTATTATTATTATTATTATTATTATTATTATTATTATTGTTATTATTATTATAAATAAGGCAACTCATTTGTGAAATTAGGTGTAATTAGGGCTGGGCGATATTAAGATGTAATATGGATAGTGTGATAAACTATGTCTCAATATGCTTTTCTGAGATATCGTTATATTTAAAAAATATTATAGTTACAAACTGACTGGAAGCAGCTGATGTGATATAAAAAAATTTTAAAGGTAAAATTTTAACCATTAATAAATGGTTAAATGGTAAAATTATTTTCGTTGGTAAAGTTTTTACATTTGCCAAATTACAAAATTTACAATTTTTTTTTTTTTCAATATTAAAATAATGAATATTTTTAGTAGACATTAAATACAGGTCATCAAACAGTACAGGTCAAACAACTACTGTGTTGCTGGAAAATTGTTAGCAAACCTACACTATATGACCAAAAGTATGTGGACACCTGACCATCACACCCTTATGTGCTTGTTGAACATCCAATTCCAGATTTAGTTCCCTTTTGCTGCTATAATAAGCTCCACTCTTCTGGAAAGGCTTTCCACTAGATTTTGGAACATGGCTGTGGGGATTCGTGCTCATTCTGCTACAAGAGCATTAGTGAGGTCAGGCACTGATGTCGGGTGAGGAGGCCTGGGGCTCAGTCAGGGTTCCAGTTCATCCCAAAGGTGTTCAGTGGGGTTGAGGTCAGGGCTCTGTGAAGGCCACTTGAGCTCTTCCACTCCAACCTTGACAAACCATATCTTCATGGAGCTCGCTTTGTGCTCAGAGGCATTGTCATTCTGGAACGTTTGGGCCGCTTACTTTAGTTCCAGTTAAGGGAAGTGTTAATGCTACAGTATACAAAGACATTCTACATGATTGTGTGGTTCCAAATTTGTGGCAGAACTTTAGGGAACGCCCACATATGGGTGTGATGGTCAGGTGTCCACAAACCTTTGGCCATATAGTGTATTACAGTATATAATGTGTATATATATAAATTGATGCATATCTTGTATGATTGAGATAAGATATGATTGTCATATTTCCCATCCCTAGGTGTAATGCATGATTAGACTAATGTGAGCCCCTCACAGACTCAACTGAGTGTGAAAGTCACACAGCAGTTTTTCCTGGATACTTGATAGTAAGCCATTATTTAGTAAGACCAGGAAGAACAAGTCAGTCTTCAGTACTGGAATCTGAAATCACCCTCATATGTCAGAACAGGAAGTGATCAGCTTTCCTTTTCAGCCTGTAATGGCTGAGGTCATGTAGGGACTCTGGGCCTGTTTTTCTTTTTATAAGAAAACAAGCCCTGCTGGCAGCTAAACTTAATATGAGCACAGAGTCCACTAGATGGAGCAATAGCACTCTGAAGATTTCATCCCATCTTTCTGATTACACAGGCTTGTCTTTATCTTTAAATCAGGTTTTAGGCTGCAAATCAAAACTCATCATTTGTGAAATGCAGATTATTAGCTTATGACTGGAAATAACATAACCACAAATGATGCATTGTTATATAAGAGGTTAAGTGGCCCAATAAGCATTCCTCAGATTTGCTAAAATATTTCCTTATATGCATTTAATGTGCTGCCTACCTTCCTATCCCTACTACCTATTAAAGACATCTTTAATCTACAGAGAACCCTGAATATGTTCATGCATTCCTGAACATCTAGCATCTCGTACTTTTACAAGATGTCAGATCTTCCCGATAACCCCTCTCCTTTCTCTCTTCCTCCACTCATGTATTTCCCCCATTCCTCTCCTTTCCTTCCCCTTTCCTGGGCTGGATGAATGGAGGCTCCCCTGCAGCACAATGGAAGCTCACTGAGGAATGCCAGAAATGTCTGGAGTCAGCAGGAGACTGGTGGCCACGAGCAATGCACTGCACACGCCCCTCACATCCATTACATCACCTTATACATTCTCTTCTTTCACACTCTAACATACATACACTCC